GGTGAGCAGTTTTCTATCAGATTTTCCTAGGCCCCAGTTGTTGATGTTAAATGTTTGATCGATCGGTTGAGGCTTTTTGAGCTGTAAGCGCGGGTGATTTGCTGGAGTCGAAACTTTTGGGTTTCCATTGGTAAAACTGCTTGAAACAAGGATAAAACAATGACGATGAAACTTGATTTTCCAGACATGGTTGACGTCCTCTCAGGTCCAAAACAGTATGTAGCCCGCCCCTCGAGAAATGAAAGTTTTTGTTGAGTTAATCCGCTTGATGAATCATCAGTATCTCCAGGCTATCTTCAGGCGCATTGCGGCTGACGTATCACATGGAGGCTGTTTAAACAAGAACAAATTTCTCGTCGCAGTTTATCAAAGTAATGATCATAATAAAAGAAAATTTAATAAGTTATGGCTATTTGAGTCAGTGGTAGACAATTGGTTTAATATGATCTAATATGATAAAGATATTGTAATGTGTCGGGGCGGTAAATCTCTCACATCTTGTGCTAAAAGTCCAAGAAATTGCCACGATGTTTACATGGAGTGGGGACACAAAACAAAAGAAACCTACCCCACTAGACCGGGGTCCCCACTCCATGTAAACAGGGTCTAAAATTTGCCTTTGCCTCTAATAATGATCCATTGTTAGTATTTTTTTAGAAAAGAACGACTTGAACACTTAGTCATAGATCCGATGCCCAAAATACTGTTCAGTAGTGTTCAACACATCGATCAAAAAAAAAAAAAGAGACATCTATCAAATCTAACGGTTTTTCATTCTTCGCATTGAAGTTGGGTTGCTGTTTTGCATTCAGTAGTTGTGTACAGATTAACTACAAAGCAGTCATTCAGGGAAGACCGCATAAATTAAACTCGCATCGTTAGGTATAATAAGAAAGTCGATCCGTTGAGTCTTATGAATGTCACAGGGGCACCCAACGGCAATCTTCGGGAAAATATCTGTTCGGAAGACGATTTGAGAACTAGAATTTTCGGAACATTTGTTGTAAAATTTCTTGCTTGCCTGCATCTCCTAGGTTTTCGAACATCTACAAAATGGTATAATTACCCATTTTATCGGATATTTACCCTAAAAAAGGCCACCTAGAATTTTCGGGAGCCTTTTCCTGGCTGAAATTTTCGAAAAGGTAAGTTTTGATACCTATAATTTTCGGATCACTAGACTTTCAGCTAGGAAATCCGAACAGATGAAAAGTTTTTAGGGGATTAAAATATGCCTATATCTACCGTTTAAATACTAAAATACGTTCAACAATGCTATGTTAAGTGGTTTTGAACTATATCCTCGTTGGGTGCCCTTGAATGTCACATGAATTATTTTCTGTTATTGGTTTTACCTGTTGGGTAGTGATGTAAAAAGGATGTATTTAATAAAGCTTACTGCAAGGGTAACATTTGTCAAGCGGCAGTGATTGAAGTGATGTGTGTATCGAACAACCCATGCAAATGTCACAATTCGCCTTTCATGCCCTGAAGTATAAAAAAGGCTGAATATTTTTGCATTGTAAAATCTATTCATTCAGGGCAATACGTCGGAGTAAAAATTTAGAGGAGAATGCAGGGGCACCCAACGGATCTGTTCCTCACAATATCTGTTCTACAGAGAAAATTTTGCTGGCTGGGAACTGAGGTTTCGGCTGTTCTGCTGGGAAGTAAAGTCTTAAATCTGCGGTCAAGAATTTATCAAATGTATCAAAAATTCTTGCTGGAGATATTTTATCCCTCTAATTTGTTAGAAATTTTTCTTGGTTGTATATCCAGCTGGGTATCAGGAGTAATCGGCTCCTCTCAGGTGGCTCCTCTATGTGCGCGAATTGTGCGCGCTGATTATTTATTTACCGCTGATCAAAAAATCTGCATGTGGGCACCGTTGTTAGAAATTCGAAATTAGGCTTCGCTCCGCCACTGGATAACTGGCAACGGTTCACTGGCGGTTAGGACGATTCATGAGATTCATGTTTATGCAAAAGGTAAGGACCTATTAAACAGCCTGATGTATTATATTCAAGTTGGACTGAATAGGATTCACAAAAGGTACATCTAGGGAAGGCTTAGTGACGTCCCTTTTTCATTACCATTGTAGTTGTTGTTATTCTTGGTTGACAAGCGAGAGATAAGGCTGTGTGTTACTTATTTTGACCGTATATACTCGAATCAGCGCCGCAATTTCCAAGCAACCCTGCGGCGCTTATTTGAATACAGATTTTTTTTTCTGCTGGCTCGTAAACATGGAGAAGGCCACTCTGCTGGCTGGGAGAATAGCCATCTAACCTGCTGGGAGTGAGGAACAGATAATTTCTTTCCAGCAACACAGAAAAGCGCTTGAAAATGCCTTAAAAGCATCTAAATTTTCGTTTTCTGTAGTTAACGGCTCATTTTCAGAAAAATGTTCGTTGGGTGCCCCTGAGAATGACTGTGATAGGAGAAAAAAGAAAGTATTCTTAATGTTCTCTGAAAGTAATCGAAATAGAAATGAAGTATCAGCTTATTTTTCTGTTGTGTCAGTATACTTTTCGTTATTCCGCCTTTTTGGCTATTTATAAATTATTCGAGTCGCACTTCCAGTTATAAATTGCCTCTCTTATTTTGTTTATATTTAAAGCTGTTCGTTTTAAAATTTTAAAATCAAAACGGTTATAAAACCCCCTGGGAAGCAAAAAGACCACACAAATACTGGGCAAGTCTTTGTTTTCTTATGAAGTATACTCCGTTCGATTGTGCTATTTAGACACTCATAGAGGCTCGAGAGGTCGATAGGTTCATCGACAGTTCGTCCAATGTCAGTCTACATTTCCCGCGCAAAGTACCTTTTTAACCGTACAATAAGTGCATAATGAAAATGCAATCAAGATTTGATATCGTTAAAATGTAATATATTTAAAGTGATAATAGTACAAAATTGCACGAGAGATTGTTGTTACAATAACAAGAAATTGTATCAAGTGGAAAATGTCGGAGTTAGCCGGCATAAGGGTCGACTTCTTCACCATCCACTCCCCATTTTCCATCTTCCCTTTTAACAGCCGTGAAAGACGCTGGTGTGTTTACGTCTGATTACGGGCTCAATAATGTGAATTGAGCCCGAAAAAGTTATTCACGATATATTCACCACATTCACACATGCCATAATGCACCTTGTTTACCCTACAAAATTTTACATAACCATTGTATTGGATTTCTCTTGGACGACTGTAATACCCAGGAGAAATTGGAAACAATGGTTATGCAAAATTTGGGAGTAAAACAAGGTGCATTGTGGTCTATGTGAAAATGGTGAATTAGCCCAATAATGTTTATTAGATAGTCTGTTCCAGGCGTTCAGATCGTGGGAACAGAACACTAAGGCGTAGCTGCCGGGGGTTTTATGGTGACAGTCGAACAAGCCTCTTCCCTCCTCTCCAGTCAAGAAATCTACAAGTATTGCAGACAAAAAAACTTGTCCATTGCGAAAAACAAATAAACAAACAATCATAATGTAACTTATTTCTTAGTTAAATAATTGACTGAGAGAAGATATAGGATATGCCTTGTATGATTTTTAAAAAGAAAAAAAAAGATCATTTTTCTCAAGTTTGATTTCGAAAGGCGTTTTCTTTTAGGCATGAAATTTGTCGCCTTAGTTTATGAGACTCGGTGACTTCTCTATAAAGCTTCATCAGTGATTGTCGCAGTGAAAATTTAGTAAAACGGTAAAAGGAAGTTGAAATAATGATTAGCTTTTAAACCAAGTGCAGTGAATACAAATCGTGAATGTCGTATCTTTTGTATCGAACTGAGTAGGGTCTTTCCTATAATGAGATCTCTTGTAGCTAATTTTTTATCTCAAGTAGTTTTTGTTTTCCTTTTGTTTCTGGGTATGGTAATTTATGCTTAGAAAGTTGAAACAAAAGAAAAATATTAATTACCTGAGGTAAAGAATTAACTACAACATATCCGTGGCAGGATTTTTACCGGTAAACATTGTAGAATATTGTACATCGTAAAAGCGAATCAAGTTCGACGTCTGAATCAACCATCGAACTTTTATCATTTGAGTCGAGCCAAATAGTATCAAGTTCGGCTCATGAAAAGTTCGGCATTTGGACTGGTCCTAAGCCCTCTTTCTCCCCAGCTACCGTGCGTTTATCGCGTCAGTTTTCGCGTTTTCGCGTACGTTTTCGCGTTTTCTAGGAGAAGCCGGAAACAGGCTACTATATCCAACCCCCTCCCTTTTTCCTTTTCCCCCTATCCCTTTCGTTCGCTTCCTCGGAGGCTAACATAAATAGACCATATGACAGTAGATTCGCTAAATATTAAGAGTAGCAGCACCTAAATATGGAACCAAAATATAACAATGGCAAGGGCTGCATCGAGGAAAACACGCACGAAGACCTCAGCAAATGTTTTACTAAATGTGAACACGAATGGAGTAAATTCCTTCAAAGCGCCAAAAAAAAAAGGTTGCAATATAGACATAAACAACCTAAACTAGACCGCAAAACGAAATGGAAGGAAACGAGAAAAAGCGAGGCTGCTTACCAAATACTGAGGACATTTACAAGGAAGAGGAAGACTAAAAATTGCTCGTTTATTGTTCCTTTCATGTACAATATTCAAAGCTTATCTAATAAATCCCCTACGATTTTCTGAAGTTTAATTTTCACATTTTACTTCCCACGTTAGGCTATTTTTCTGAGAAAAAAGGAAACCTAAAATTTTCGGATTCAAAAATGGGATGGAGAGAGTAATCAGAAAATGTCTCACTTTCGTAATAAGTCAAATTGCACCTAAACTTTTCGGGAAAATTATACTCAAGCCCTTATAATTTCGAAAAGACTCTAGTTGCCCTAGGGATGACCGAACAGATACAAATTTTATAGCGTCACTTCAGTAGAATAAATTTCTACAGCTCTAAAAGTACTCGGGACAGCCTAAAAAGTGTTTTCAATGTATATAGCAAAAAACTGTCGTTGGGTGCCCCTGATGCAAGTAAATGATTTACCTGATTTTTCATACAGGGAGTCAACTTTGTATTTGATCTCACTCAAAATTTTTCGATCAGCGTCTTCGAAACCCCAGTTGTTGATATTAAAGGTTTGAACCATCGGATGACGTGGTTTATTACTTATGAGCGACGCTGTGTTGGAAACGGCACTTTTAGGATTGATCTGTGCAATGATTAAAGCAATGAAACGGACGAAATTCCATTTTCGATTCATGGTTGATTTCTTTCTCGGATCCAACGAAGAGGTCGTCGCCTTTAAGCGAACATCCCAAGGAATACACTAGTCTCTAAAGATGATCCCTGACGTACTGATCAGTCCGCTTAGCCATGTGTGTATCACACAACCCATGCGAATGTCACAATTCGCCTCTCGTGCCCTAAAAAAAGGCCGCATGTTTTGACAGTACAACATGAAATACCACGAGACACTAGGTAACTCTAAGATTTTACTGTCGCGACTGCCAAACTTGTATTTGATAAACCTGCACAAGCGCGGACCAGTGCTAGTGGCATAACAGGCATACGAATAACGAAATTGACGAAGAAAGAGCCAAACCAAACTTTTGGCCAGAGTAAGTTTTTGACCAAAAAGAACGGGGTTGGCAATAATATTTCTCTTCAAATTGAGTAAATGATTGCTAGTCTTGAAAATGATGTCGCCATCGCTAAAGAGAAACTATCTGGAACAGCTGAACGATGATCCCTATGGTTCACGAACTCGAGCGGGGTGGTAGTAATAACCGCCCTAAAAAACACGCGTGCGCCCAGAATAAAAGAAATAGATGGCGTGAAGAAAAAGTCCCAGTTTTTATCGAAGCAGATGAAGAAAGCAGCAGGGTTTTGCGAATGAACTGTCAAGGCTCGGAGGAGTTCATGCTCAGATGTCGGATGAGAATCGAAGCAGAGTGAATTTAGACAATTCTAACTTGAAGATGATTTTTTTAATGTTTTTATTGTATAAAACTTAAGGGCGATGGTTAAAATTTTAGAAAACTGGAAAATATTTGATTTGGAAGTTATTGAAAGTTTTAAACATAAAGTGAATAATTAGTACGCCATTTTCATGCCGTCAGGAAAACCACTTACTGCCTTCGCGAAACTAAGTTATGGGAAGCGAGATTTTGTCATCACCTCTAAACAACCGAAACTGAGAAAAAGAACAATGTCAAACCGGCACTTTAATGATACTCTCTTCAAAACTCAGAAAAGAAAGAAAGCCATTCCTCTTTACAACATTAGGACAACAAACTTAAAGGCAAGGAGGAAAGAAGTGAAAGAGGTCCGGTCCAGCTAGGGAGCTTACCCTCCCAAACACACCTGTCCAACAACCTCGCTAACTTTAGCCTTTCTAATTTGCTAGCAAAGGAACTGACGGGGGTGCAACCTGGGTAGAGGAAAAGAAAAAAGGGGGGAATAACTAACCTGATAAGGTTAGGCCTACACACACTTGCGTAAACAACAGCTAAACAAAACAACAACAACAACAAAACATATTGGAAAAGGGAGGGTAAAGCCCCGTGCAAACGGACGCAACATTGTTGACCAACAACTCCCAACATTGTTGGATATTACATGTTGCGTCCGTTTGCACACCCTGTTGCATGTTGTTGGATGTTGTTGCGCAAAGTTTGAAACCGGTCAAACTTTTCAGGCAACAACTCCCAACATTTCTTTTGTTCGGTCATCGCCGAAGCGTGGCGCAACAATGTTGAATCCGTTTGCACAGCTCTTCCAACTTTGTTGGGGCCACGCACGCTCATTACCCATGGTTTACAAAGACTTATGGGTTGTATCCTTCCCACGATTTACTGCAGGTCCCAACATTGTGGGGAAAGCACCGTTGCCCCATAACAAAAGAAATTGCGATCCACCTTACGGGATCATTACTTAATTAGTTTTCCAGCCCGATTCCTTCAGCAACAACTTGAATAGATTTATGCTGGATCGATTATATGTAACTCGGCACGTGTCGTTGCAAGTTTCAAGGAAGATTCCTTCGATGAACGACCTCATTTGAAGTTTTTTTATAGTACCTTTACTTTAGATTTCTTGTTTTAGGAAAATAAAAGAAAAACAGTGCGAGAAATACAACCAGAATACGTGCATCGTGGCCAGACTTATTTGACAGCTAGTCATTCACAGTTGCGTTATTTTTGTTATTTTTTTAATTAGTAGGCGTTCCCCTCCTCCCTCCTCCCTCGCGCGTGGTCTCGCGCCCTAATTCCCTTCCCTTCCTTTTTCGAACGCCTGCCACGCAGGCTAACACCTAACAAATATATCGAACGCACTCTCCTAAGCTCCGATTACTCCTAGTTTTAAAAGTAGAGGCAGATTCGGTTGGAAGAAATGAGGGGAGGGGAGAAAAACGTCATGCAGCAAAAACCAAAGGAATTACAGTGCTCTCCAACCCCCCTCCCCCAACGGAAAACACCTGCACGCCTTGAAAGCACGTTCGTTATGTCGATCACTAGTTTTTAGCTCTCGGTGAAAGGAGCCTGGGGGAGGTCTTCTCTATACCGTAAATGACCTAATAGACGCCGACTCCCAAATAAACGCCTCTGATCTAATGAACTTCCCCTCTACGCTTTTAAAATTGTATTAGACGCCCCTCTCTAATAAACGCCCCCTATGAGAATTATCCGAAATACAAAAAATTAGAAAAAGGAGCAAAATTATTCAATTCATTCAGTTTCTTGCTTGATTAACGAGGCTTTGTGTATTTCATCTTGTTCAATGTTAAGTTCAAAGTAAGGATAGACTAACGATGGCAACGCATAAGCCCCGAGTGAAGGTTCTGACAAATGTTAGGATTTGAAAGAGAGATATGGATCTCTAGACGTATCAAGAGTGGATATTCCGCTACTTTGAAACTCTCTTGATCTTTTCGCCGAAAGCATGTTGAGCTTGTCGAAGTTATGAGACAAAAGGCTTCTCTCTGTTTTAACGCTTCCTATCTATTAAACACCTCCGCTGGGACCCCTAAAATTAAATGGACGCCACGGGAGTTTATGAGGCCATTTACGTGGCGCATAACATCGCTCCAGTTACGCAGCCTACTTCGCACAAATAGCAGCGTTTCGATGAAAAGGCTCGTCAAAAAAAAAAACAAAAAACAAAAAAAAAAACAGTAAGACGCTAAGCCTATACATTGCTGACACTTTTCTCAAGTTTGATTCGTGGCAGGTGGTCAAACTATCAAACCATCTCTGTGAGTTGAAACAAACAAACTTTTTTCGTTTATTTTTTTTATATTTATTATTTTCTGGGTGCTCATTAGTCTCACTTGCGTAAGCAGCGAGACTCATGACCATAATCCGCAAAGCGTTTTCGCATTTTTGTTCGTATCTTATACACAAGTAGGAGTCATTGTGCCAGGTGTTCCTAGCGGAGGCCGTGGAAACTAGGACTAAGAATCTTTGCGTGATCGAAGTCACACATGTTTAGGAAAGGTTAACTTTAGGGCTTTCCGAAACGTGTCGGTCCACGAATTCTATCGCTTCAAAGCGTTGCTTACTTTGGAACAAGTGAACACTACTGAGGGTGCGTTCGTTTGGGAAATCTGGATTTAGATTTTTAAATCCGGATTTCGGATTTGCAATCGAACGCAGAATCCGAAAACGGATTTCAACGCTGATATATCTGTTTTTGGATTTTCATTTTTACCGTTCGACTAGGAAATCCGCAAAAGGATTTGAAAAACTGTTCTTAAGAACAGCGGTCTTGCACGCACACGCATAATTAGCAAAAAGAAGAGCGCTGTTCACGAGAACAGTTTTGCAAATCTTTTTTCGGATTTCCCAATCGAACGGTAAAAAGGAAATTCATGAAATCCGGATTTGGATTTCTCAATTGAAATCCACCCTGAGGAAGGATTTCTCGGAGGTGAAATCTGTTTTCGGATTTCGCGTTCGATTGCAAAATCCGAAATCCGGATTTCAAAATCTAAATCCAGATTTCCCAATCGAACGCAACCTGAGTAGTTGAAAAAAAAAACTGCAAAACTGCGATGGTCGGGTGTTGTAAACTTTCATTGTATGCAAATAAGTCTTGTGGAGAGAATGCAGTTCATTTTCGGCGATGATTGAATTGACGTGCCCTGTAAATCACTTTTTTGATCGCTGGCAGTTATGTAATTTCTCTGGAATCGAGGCCCTTGAATTTTCGTGTATTTATGCACGCGTATAGTCTGCGACCGCAGACGTATTTCCGGTCGTTGCTAACACGTGCACTAAATCAATTCAGAAACAAATAAAAAGTATCGACGTCGATAAAGTAGGAAGTAAGAAACCTTTAGCGAGTAAATAACGTTTTGTGTAGAATTAATCGCCTCCTCATTTCTCGATTTAATCTCCAAGCAAGCGAGACCGGCAGCGGCTGTAAGCGCGTTCTTGTTGTAGTAAGCAACTCGTGTTAATAATCATGTTATCGTAGTGTCGCTACTGAGCTCCTTATTATCCTCCTATGTTTAGAAATAGTTATCTATCAACTGAAAGACACACGATCTATTAGTTAAAGTCGCAAATAAAGATAAGAAAACGAAAGGGCAGCATATTCTAGGTGTAACCGCCATTTTATTTTTGATTTTAATTAACTGAATTTATTATCAATCTAAAGCAGTTTTATTTGACGAACAACTCTCATGACAAAATGAGAGCACCCATCCTTGCACAAAATCGTAATTTTTGATTTATGTCGTATTATTTAGTTTATTAAATGGCATTACATCAAAGTGTTCTACTCTATTTTGACTTAAGGGACACTAGTCACATAATTTGCTTTTTCTTGCAAAGGATAACTGGGGCCACCTTCCAATGGTTTGGTGGGTCGAGATCGCATGTTAAGTCGTTCCACTTGCCTCCATTGCTGTGTGCCGAGCCGAACATGTTTCCACACTTTTCATTCCCACCAGAATTGTCTGGCTGGCGGCTTGCCCAAGCCGTGTAACCTTTCGCCAGTGGAGTGTCATCAATCCAGTAGAACTTGTTGTCCGCCTTGCGGACAAAACCAAGCCACACACCCCAATCGGTGATGGTTTTCTGTTTCTTGAGCAAGGTGAATATGAAGTTATTCTCAGCAGCTGATTTTATTATAGCGAGGTCTCCTCCAAACATCTGACAAGTTCGTCGAGCATCGCTCCAATTTAGGGTTCGAATGTCGATGATGAGGTAACTGAAGTTTCCGTAGCGGACCCAACCATCTTGAGGACAAACTGAAACTAGAACATATTTCGTTAGCATTATCACATTAAGCCTCGTGATATCATCCACTCTTTTAATAAGAAGCCCGCAAATAATTTTTGAAAATTTTAATGTGAGTAAATTACCTGTTGCGGTCGATCTCTCATAAAGAGAGTCGATTTTGTATTTCATCTGCTTTAAAATTTTTCGATCAGCGCTTCCAAAACCCCAGTTGTTGATGTTAAAGGTTTGGTCCATCGGTTGACGTGTTTTATCACTTGTGTACGTCGCTGAGTTGAAAACAGCGCTTTGAGGATTGTTTTTTGCAAAACTACTAGAAACAATGAGATAGGTAAGGAAAATGAAAACGAAATTCCATTTTCTGAACGTCATGGTTGAATCAGTTTTTTGTTGGATCAAATGAAGCTAAGAGGCAGCCTTTATGTGTACACCTCGAGGATAAGCGTCTCTTTAATACTCGTGTTTGATGACTCATCAGAGTCGTGGTGAACGTGATCGCTGACATATCATTAGGGAGCTTAAGTAGCGGACGTTCTCGAGGTCACGGACGCGTAAAGAAGGTTGCGCCCGGTCTGGATAGAGTACGGCGTTCGTGGCGCGAAAAGCGAAGATTAAGCAATTTATCTTTTTTGGCATAACGCGAGTCATGAACGTCTTGTCTGCGTTTAATTTAGCTATTTGAAATGTCTTCACTCATGGCATTTCGAATTTCAGAAAGATTTTTGTCGCTGAAAGAGACCCATTCTCATATGATCATTTCATCTTTCACATTCGCCAAGCTTGAAATGCCGTCGTGTACTATTTCATAGTGTAGACCGTGATTTAGTTTGCTATTCATTTTCAAAGTTGATTGCGCCAAATATCACAGGGGTCTCGCTAGAAAACGTTTCCAAGATATATATATATATATATATATTCAAGATATATATATAAATATATATATATATATATATATATATATATTTATATATATATCTTGAAAATATATATATATCGGTCGTTAAAAGTTACAAGAAGATAAAGCCCTCTGAAATAGGATTTGTGTTTATTTGGTGATGATTCACATGGGCAAGAAATCGAGTAAATCTTACGTAAATTCCGTAATTTTGCTATCTTCCAGTTCTGTAGCCAGCTAGAGCTGTCGAGTCCAAAAATAGAATTATAGACTGTTTACCTGAGTTTACATCTCTGAAAACGCCGAATAAAAAGTAGAAGAATTTTCCTTGGTTTTAGGCCATCAATTTAACCACAATATCGGAAATTACCAAATAATTCTTACCCAACCGCGAACTTTCGAGTACTAGAATCTCGCGTTCTATCTTGCACTTCAAAAGTGCATGGCGTTCTGGTGTCGGCGCAATCTCGTACCTTGAGTCTTCGTCCCTTACGGCGCATCAGCTGGCTTGACGAGACGAGCGCTGTTTCCCGAACGCAGGTCAAGGGGAACGAAGACGCTGGGTACGAGGGTGTGTTCGTAACCTCAAAAACGTCTGCTGCTTAAGCTCTCTATAAATTTGAACATAAACAAATTTCGCGTTGCAGTTTATCAAGTCATTGATCCTGCTAAAAAATAAATGTATTATAATGAGAGGTATTCATGAGTTATATTATTATTGGCAGTTTGCATCAATATCTTTCGCTGAATTCGCTACAGAATTTGTCGCAGTACTATGTAAATTGATCAAGTTTAAGTTATACTTATTATCTTTTGTGATATTCATCAAAATAATGGACTGAAATTAAAAAAACACTCCAAACACTTGTAAACTCTCGTAAACTAAAATAGGTTTTCGAAAGACTCGACGAATTACTGTGCAGTGATTACTACAGTTTCAGTTTGGAGTTAATCTATAAAGCCGGTACGCTCTCTTTTCAATTATATGAAGTATGATTCTCTTGATAGACATCTCTTTTAAAGTCTCTTTTTGCTTTCACCGCTATCAGAAAATCAATTTCTGTTTTTTTTTACAATAAAAAGACAAACATTCCAAAAGAACATCATTCATGATCATATCATTTAGAGTAGAACACGAATTGTTGGGCGCTGCCTGTCAGAGAGACCGTCTTACCTTAACAAATAACTAGACGAAAAAATGGATTTGCACAAATTTGCTCTTGGCAGATATGTTACAATATAAAAAGTGAGGAGTAAATCTGGGGCAAACCCGATAAATGCCACATTTACTCCCTTTAATTAAAACCGACCCCACGTCAACTGGTATGCAATTATGGCATTACTGTTTTTGCCCCAGATTTACTCTTCTGTTTTTACATTTTGCGACATTTTTGCCATTAGCGAATATTTGCAAATCCATTTTTTTGGTGATGCCTTCTCATATAGTCAAACCCCGTTAATACGGACACTGAGGGGGCCGTAGAAAGGGTTCGTCTAAGCGGGCGGAGAGAATTTAGACGAATTTTCCTTAAGGATAAAGCAAACTGTCCAAAGACCGTAATAACGAGTTGCCCGTAATAAGCGGGTGTCGGTAAAGCGGGGTTTGATTGTATTCTCTTAGTTAGAGTGGCTATGTCACGAGGCAAGGATATTGCAGACGATATCGAACAAAACTAAACACCACTATAAATAGGTGATTTTTGCAGGCATGGCATTAAGTGACTTGAAAAAGCTGGCCTAATTTCTTTAAGTTTCAATCCATGTCATCCTTACAATCTGTTGCAACGCACAACAGGAAGCAGTTTTCAGCTGAGTTTTAATGCTTAAATATAATCTGAAATAGCAATATTAGACCATAATTATAGTGTAATGCAAAACTGTTGCGAATGATGCGAAGTCACTTAAGAACTTTTTAAAAAGATAGCAAATAGCATGACTTAGTCCCTTTAAGTGTCTAAAGTGGGTCGCAAAATATATTGTTCTGGATGTAATCTTTCTTAGAGGAGCTTGTGCTCAGCGCGGCCTTTAGCGGGTATCTATATAATAATGAACAATTATTGGATGAGGTTTTTGTGATATCCGGAATAATTCAGAGGTTGAAGCGAGATAAGTGTTATCGGCCTAGCCGAAGGCCGACGCTGATGACACTTACCGAGACCTTGATTACTTAGGATATCACAAAAACCCAATCTAATAATTTTTTTGCTATATACATTGTTTTGAAGAAAATAACGACAAACACACCGTCGCAAGGAACCTGAATTGATGGAATTGTTATTGGAAATCATGCATTGCGCGCGCAAACTACAGATTAGTCACTTAACTGACTAATCTGTAGGTTGCGCTGATTTTCAAAATTAGCCGTGGGCTCTTAACCAAAGAAAATGAGTACAATGCATAACAATATACTTAATCACACCTTTTAGGAGCATCAAGGAACAATATCCTGAAGAGTGTAATCGATAAAATCCGATATCAGAAAACAATTCGATGAAGCGATACTATCTATAATTCCTGATTGATTGATCGATTGATTGATATCCATGTTATCGATTGAAAAACCGGGCTTCGTTTGGAAGACCACAGGGAGCCCACACAATGTGTGCATGTAACCGATTGTTATTTTATAGTAAATGTACTGATTTTACCGTTTGCTTCACCTATAGATGGTTTTCACAGTGACGTCATCAAATTGTAAAGTCAAAATAGCGAGGTTTTAAAAATTCTTATTTACGCTAGGATGAAGATAAACAAAAAGTAAATCTTTGCACAAGTTTCCATTCCCGTAACATGTTTCATTTCGAAATACAGCAATTTGAACTTCCGAGTTTTCACAGTGCGTAACACCAAGATATGAATGCTGTCTCGTCGAAAGAAAGTCGCCCCTCTTGATTTTCAGCACTATAACCATTTCAAGTATTAGAAGATATGTTTATGCGCACGTATGCTAAATCTTGGGTGAAAAGAAAGAGCTTTTATTAAAAAAGTGAACTCCAGATGTTTTTGTTGATTTCCGGCGGCCATATCGGTGCACCAAAAGGTACACCAATATGGCGTCTCCATACAAAGCTCTACAAAGGTGCGTGAAACGTTTCGGCAAATTACTCAGAAACTGTGCGCCAGAAAGATCTGAGACTTGGGCAAATTGTTTTTATATTAGTTTTTTATAACATTTCATTTTCTTGATTTTCTTCCACAGGACGGTTTCCAATTTATTTTTTGCCGCGTGACAGTGAAAACGATCTATAACGATATATCGCTACGTATGTCTATAAATCAATGAATTACCTTACCTGTGGTATATCGTCGTCCTTTTGCCTCAAAAGCGGTTTTTTGAGCGATTTTGAAGGAGTCTGAGTTCGCCGTTTACCGTTCCTAATAATAGAAGGACAACTTGTCCTTCTATTATTAGAACAATAAACGTTTAAAGTGCTACTACGATCAAAATTTAATGTCAAGTACCTGTTTCGGTCATTGAAATGAACTTTAGCGCCCTCTCAGTGAAAATATTGAGCTTGAAAATGTAGGTTTTTCGCGTCCGCCATTAAAAATTTATGTTCCACTAACAAAGCTATTGTTCTCTGATTGTGACATCATTTTCTGAACAGGCCAAGAAAACAAACCTGAACCGTGAGAAAACTGCGAGCGACTCTCAAAGTTTCGCTCGTCTTCGCCCGATTCTGGAATTGTGAAGGAGGAAATCGTAGATTACGATGACTCTGTAGAACCAGCACCGACTGAATACGAGAAAGTCAAATACTAAGGGCAGCTAGCCTCAGAGAAGGAAAAAAAAACACACTTCACCAAGTCGTATTTTATGCAGTTTGTGCCGACGGAGATTCGGACTACTGGTAGGTGTATTTGTATACGTACTAGCTATAATAATAATACACAGGCAACAGGCAAGACGATCGAGAGTCCGCACCAATTTCACCTGCCTTCCAGCCACTCTCGAGTGCTCATTTATCCAAGTGTAGATAAAGTTTTGCTTTATAGCTCTTCAGGCACAGCGAATCAGACTGGGTACTGTTTTCAGTTCAGCTAAGTTTCAGTTCTAAAGCAGCCAGCTCGTTATAACGTTGTCATATGCATGTGTTTTTTTTACCATCTTAAGCGGACTGCTGTCCTTTATTATTGAAAATTTAATTGTTAGTTTAGTGTTACGTATCTGAGCTGAGGATTTTAAAATTAGATCTAATGTTAAGTTCTCTTTGTCAGAAAAGTTAATTTACTCATTTTCAATATAAATAGATAAATAAGGGGATCGCTCGCTCTTGATTTGGTATATCAATTTAATAGTTTTCAGTGCTGACATTAAAGACTGTCACATTCTTTGTAGCTCATGTTTTTTTGAAAAGGCTGTGTCTGCCTATGCCTTCCCTATCGATTGACTGCAGATCATTATTGCAACTTATAAATTGCAACGCTAATAAAAATGCACAGATTTCACCTCATCCAACTATTGTCAATGATATCCCCTTGTATTCCCATAACTTTTATAGATAACTTTATGAAATTGTTGTATGTGACGTTTTTTTTAAATTTATTTATAATTCAAACCTAGGTGTGCATTTTTTGGATGCTCTCTTTACTGGGGCCAGCTTTGAAGCTTTGGCTAGACAAGAAAATATATACTGGAAAGGTTAATACAGACATGTTATGATGTCTATATTATCTGGGTGTCCGTATTATCCGGGTGTCCATATTAAGTTAGCTCTCTGGAAAAAAGTCACAGACACGTGATTTATTTGATATATAGCATAAAGGAACAAGGAGGAAGAAGGGTAGACACAATGACTGTAGCAAACAGCCAAGGACGTGAAACTTGTTGAGTAGGAGGCAGAAAATTTATCAAAGAACTACAAACAGGGGAAGAAAGAAAGATGTATCAAAATCAAATGTGTCATGCTATTTGGCTGCAGATGTTTTGGTAATAAAATCTTATTAACCCGTGAACTTGGTACAATGTCTACAATTGGCACATCATTGTGACAAGAAAAATAGAAAGTGCCTGGGTAACCAGTGTCTGTAAAGCTGGATTAAGAATATATAGGAATTTCTGACTTGAAACACACAAAAGTGGTTGTTGTCCACATTAACTACTGTGCCTACTAAGCTGGTTAATTTTAAAGAAAAAATGTATGCTTTTCCCCAGGACAAACAAAACTGCCTGTTATATATGGGTGTCCAATTAAGTGGGTGTCTGTAGATCATAGAGTACTGGGTTATCACTGCATTAGT